TAGGTGATAAAATAACATGGCGTCGATTTGACAGGTGTGGGTTACTGGTATGCCTTTGATGTAAACGTCATACCTGTCTTGATGCCGAATTTTCAGGACATATTCCCCCGTCTGACTATCACTACTTTCCCGAGTGTGTAAGTGCTTCAGTGGGCTGTGCATGCACGGGTGACTGACGTATGGTTTAGTACTACCGATACGCGGAGTTGAGCCTGAGATATCAAGATGTCATTTTAGGCAGTTTATTTGGTGTGAGTAATGTTTCAAAGTATGTCGCCGAACAAAGGGTTGACAGTGCTTGTCTAGCACTTGAACGTTGATCATGTAAGTGGCTCCCTTTATTTAATTGACTCTAATCGAGACTCGGCTGTAGTTCTACTTTGTCGAGGCCGCCGATCTCAATGTCAGCCCCGAAAAGGACGAGATGGTGCCTCATAGTTCCGAGGGTACAATCTTTGAAGCATTGATGACCAACTTTCAAGCCCTGGCGAAGGGGTCAAAGCATTTGAATTATGACGACTACGCAGTAGTCACCGTCAGCCCGTCGTTGGTGCCCAATCCATACTTACCCAGCTTCAGAGTGTTCAGCTACAACATCTCGGGGCTGGGATCGACGACTGTGGGCGCCGTCGGTGAAGACGGGTATCTCCTGATGACAAAGAAGGAACGAGCCTCCCGATGGAGGCATTTACCGTATCGCCATGGTAATGATGGGAACGATGGCCGCCAATGCATGGGTGCGGGATATCGGGACTCGTGGAGGTGCAAGCTTCGTCCCTGGCGCTCTGATAGCCACGCTCCGTCGCGGCAAAATACGTTGTGGACACCTTTGGGATATGCGCAGGTGCGTCATGTTTCTACAAGTTTTATTTCATTTGGAGTTAATGAGGAAATTAGTATTACATACCTCAACTTGAGAAATACGATGAGAAAGACGGACCAAAGTTTAAGCTGGAATACTTAACGTTCCCGATTTCGAGCCTGCACCTCACGGAGGGACCCGTACCGCTGAGAAACTTACCCAAGTCGCTCCGCGAAGCAGGGGTAACGGAATCAGAGCTTGCACCGTATGAACTGCGTGATCTTACGATACCGTCATGGTTAGATCTAGCCTGCGAGCTGGGGAAGCCGCGGGAGAAAAAGCTCCGAAAGCGGTTCAAGAAGTATATGTATATGGGAGGGGAAGATATTTAAAAGGGATGAGGCCGGGCTGTCCGTATGATTGATGATCAGTTTTGATACGATGTAGGAGGATTATTATTTTTTTCGGTATGGCGGTGTGGGAAGTGCGCGGCGGCGGTGTAGAGGAGATGGATTATTATTTGTGTTTACTTGATCAGTTTTGTTGATTCTTAACCCGTTCTAAAACGGCGTTGTTGCCTTGACCACCGACCACATTTCTGTAGTAGTTCCTAGAAGATCTCGTCAGCGTTCCTGCAAACCTATTACTGCGTCTTTCGAGGAGGCAAAATCTATCTTTTTTGCTTACTTGCTCTCCCTCTCTATCATTCATATTGGCCTAGCTCAAGACTAGTGTCCTTTTGAGTCTGCTATTTCGTTTTGCACTAGAGCAGATACTCACCCATCGACTAAAAATCTTCTCTTTTCTGCCTTACCATCTGCCAGTCAGCGGCGGCTTCTGTCTCACAAAACCAAATCTCTTGTCGTTCATTCAAAATCGACGGCTGGACCGACTATTGCCTTGATCACTACATCGGCATCCACTTTCATTTATTCCCTTTCATCAGCAACTCTCATATATATCTATATGGCTGCCGTCAACTTGCAGACTATGTCTTCAAGTATCCCTTTCGACTTTCTACCACTCAATCACCCACATTCAAGATCAAATTCTGTCTCTTCATCCTCTACTCATTCGCCTAATTCTCGTCCTCATTCTTCTCAAGGCGGTATGTCAAGAATGTCATCAGGTTTACCTACCTCATTGGACGATCACTACCGACTCTCTTATATGAGCGCTGATCAGACCCGCCACACCTCCTTCTCACTTCCTCCCTCCGACATGACTCCCCCTGGTCAATCTCCTCCAAACACTAATATTACTAATCCTGCGCTTAAAGGCCATATCCGTCAAACTCATCTCAGAGCCCGGGCTGCTGCTTCTCCGTACCCCCGTGATTCAGAAAGTGTTCACTCTTCATCCAGTGAAACAGACGACATTTCCATGTTCCTTGGGAATCCCTCAGACTACCCTAGCATGTATGGGCATGGCTCTACCTTGCCCTCTAATCAAGAAACTATCCACACCGCTGGCGCTTTTGGCAGGATGTCTTTGGGTCCTGATCATCAATTGGAAAAGCTCGCTGCCAATGTCCGCGTCGCAACAACAACCAGTGCATCTGATAGAGCTAAACAAATTTTTGTTCAGGCTTGGTGAGTTCATGCTGTGCTTTTTACTCACATACCCATCTTCTCATCATTTTGCTGCGCCCAAAGGTTGACAGCAAATTACGCGCCTTATCCAGATGGCAATGTACCTCGCCAGGGTCTCTACTTTTCGTACAGACGAGTGTGCGATCAGTACGGGATTCCTCACATTAATACGGCCACACTAGGAAAGGCTATTCGTCTGTGTTTTCCTACTATCAAGACACGGCGCTTGGGTGTTCGCGGAAATAGCAAATATCATTGTGCGTACACTGCTTCAGTGCCACATCTGATGGTGATCGGAAGAATTCTGATTGACGCCACGTTCGGCCAGATTGCGGCATTCGTCCCGCTACTTCGGCTGAAGCCGAATGGCTTCAGGATTACATCCGGAAATCAAACAATAGTGCTGGCCAGCATTCCATCAACGCCGCTCGTGCCGCGCAAGAATCTTCCGACAATCCAAATAAAGGCGAAGAACGGTCCGACGAAGATGAAGATGAAGATTCCGAGGGATCCAGTGCATCGAAGAGGAACTCGTTGACCCTTTCTGGAGATCTCAAGGCTACTGGTCTCACTTATGGAGACATCAGTGACAAAACACCTACTGCTAATAGCTTGCTCTCTCAGGCACAAGCTGTTGCGAGAAGCAACACATATCCAAGCCATGCCTCTATCCGTCGACATGTCAGCCAATCGGATCCAAACCTTGCTGCACAATCTACCATGTCGCTTGGACCTGGCACTGGAGCATCTTTCGTACCATCGCAGCAGCATATGTCGGTCCGCCATATGCCGCATTTCCCATCCATCGAAGAGGCGATAGGATCTAACTCTGCATCTCCACAGAGCATCGCTGCTCGTGAGGTGTGGGGATGGTTCCAAGACCATCTTGATGCCGTCCTCGAGAGCGCTCGTGCTTTCAGGTTCGACCAATTCGAGATGCACCTCCGAAGTTTCTGGTCCAGCTTGAGTGGGAATCATCGAGAAGTAGTGCATGCCCCCGCTATCGCTGGTCTAATGGCCAAAGCCGACGCAATTCTATACGATGTACGTCCAGGATGTTACCTCGTCTGGCATGTCTCATTGACCTTTTCGACAGGAAATACTTGAGTTTTTAAGGTCCCAGATGCTTTCCCCGATCGCTCCCGCTGCTATGACTAGTCTTAGGACGTTGGCAAGCAAAATGGAGAAGATCCTGCTTGTTGCGCTGGAGGGATATGGCAACACTTTTGTTGAGCCCAAGGTCGAACTTGGAGCGCGGTTTGGCCATCTTGTTTGTATGTGACTTTCTCGACACTTTTACTACCTTGGCTCATATTACTGCAGTGCGCTTCTTGGACATATACCAAGTTACCCAAGCCCTCAATACCGTATTGACGAACCAGAAGCAGCTTTCCGAGATGCGTCGTTCCTGGCAGAAAGTGGACTTTGAATCTGTCCGCAATCAGTCTGCTCTTGTTTGCAATTGTCGTCACGAGGAGCTTGTTCAGCTTCTAGAAGTCGATTTCGTGGGCATGATGGACAGCTTGGCAAAGACTCCAGAACCGGTTAGGGAGGTCATGGCTTGGGCTGACAAATGCTGTGAGAGGCTCATGGGACAGCGGATAGGAACTGGTGATGATCGAGGCACGATGAGTTCCCGAAGTGTCTTGATCCGCTGGGGCTACGTGACCAGTCAGGTCATGAGAGATTTGGTAAGAGCTCCCCTGATCATTCTTTTTCCGTTCACCAATAGCCACTAGACCATTCGCAGCGACCCAGCCTTCGGAGCCTTTCAGATCATGAAGCTGTTCTTAGAGTAAGTCCATATATTTTCCTTTCGTGAGACGTCGTTAACGTTTCACCTAGTGATTGGATTGCAGTGAACGTCCTGCGCAGCGTGGCACTTTCCACCAACTCCGTGGCCGCATCCGTTGAACCAGTCATGCAGCAACAGTTCTTTTCATTATCTCCCATGGCCGGCCAGGAAAGTTTTAACACCATGGAAACGCGTTCCGCTCAACACGTCATGAGCCATACCCCGACCACCTCCAGCATGCTCGCAGCTTTACAGCAGGACCCATTCCCGACCGGCGCGCTGGACGCATCATCTTCTGGATTTAATGCAGATGCATATGGAGGTTTGAATTATATGGATACTTCAGTTCAGCCGGATGATTCTATTCCTCCCGTCCACCAGTCAGGCCTTTCATTCTCTGACTATGCCCCCGGGAATACGTTCGACGTTGCGTCATTTGCGACGCAAGATTTGGGCATGAATACCTCTTCAGGTACTAATGGCGAGCAAGATCGCGAGACTGAGTCCGTCAAGACGGAGGCTGGGCCTTAGTCCCCGAAGCTCGATTGAAAATTATACCACTCGGTCAAAGATAGTATCTCCAGTGATTGTATATGTTCTGTTCCGTCATTTATTCATACCTTGTCAGTGTCCTATCTGTATTGCCACTTTTGCTCCGTATCTTCCCCTTCTCGTACTTTTATTGTATAGGTCTTCATTCTGTTGAATAATACTGATTCCTTCCCGCTCCGGACATAATTTGCAGATATAAGTAGAGGCGATCTGGTAGTATAAGTGTGAGGTATAAAAGATGTTCCGATTCAGTCTGTGCCTAGTTCTCCTCAGTGTCGTTAACCTGAACCTCCTCAAGCTTCTCCTCGACCTCATCATCAATCCGTGGAGTTGCGCTACCCGAAGGAGTGAGAGCAGGTTCTAGAGGCTCGCTACCGCCGTTCGGTGGGGATACGGTCACGTTCCGCTTGCCATTAGGCTTGGCGCCATTCGTCAGACGTCGGATCTCCGCCTCGGCTTTGGCTATGTTTTCCGCTGTTTGACGAACTTGGTTAGCCTCAAACCAGGCTTTCTTTGTCTTCAGGTCCTCGATAACGCGAGGAACATCAGCCTGGTCCGTCGGAGGCGGTATAGATAGCGAAAGTAGAGCGGATAATTGGCCGTAAGGTAGATGAATGGCGCTGGTATCAGCTGGAGAGGTGGCTTTGGGGGTTTTCTTTCCTTTCTTCCCTTTCCCAACGAAATACGATTCTTCATCTTTCTTTTTCAGTGCCACCATGGTCTCCCCAACTGCATCCACCTGTCGAATCTCCAACTGCGGAACACCAGAAACATCGGATTTGGCTGGTACAGATGAGGATGACGACACTACATTGCCAGAGGACTTTCCAGAGAAAAAGTCAATGAGAGTCTGGCAATCTTCAATCTGCGTTTGGAATGCAGGCATTGACGCTTCTTCACGCAGACCGTCGGCGATTGCCAATTTCCTCTGTGCTTCTTCTGCATCACGTTGAGCACGAGCTTTCTCAAGACGTCGAGCGCGGTCCTCGTTCACCTTGGTCCAATACCGGTCATTCGCCTCCCGGAAATGATATGCTGCCTCACGCTTCTCATTGAAGAGAGCGTTTAGTTGTGCTTGAATACTGTCTCGTTCTTCAAAAAGCTTGTTTCGGCCTGCATACGCCTCGTCAGATTCCTTTTTGAGTTCGTCCAGTTCAGCTTTGATGGTATCAAAACGCTCAGATATTTCCTTGGACTCCGGGTCATCAAGCAGTTTCTTCAGTCGGTCGGCTTCTTGGCGGTCAGCTTCAATCGACTCTTGGTCTGCCTGGAACTTTTCGACCATTCTACGCGTCCGACGAGTCTGGCTGATCTCCTGAAGGGCACGCTTTTCATCCACAACTTTCATACTACCAGACTCCACTTGTTTTTCCAAGTTGCTGAGAAACAAGAAGCATCAGTAGAAGGCAGTGTGCTGTCAAGGGAGTAGGCATACCTGATATGAGCGTCGACATCTGCTGTGGTTTTGAATGGTGTTTTGCCACGAGCAGCTTGCAGGTCCTTTATCTGCATGGCACGTTTCGTCAGGAAATAGTGAATGTGGGTCGATACCAGGCGAACCTTTTTCTGAATACCATCTTGAATCGTTTTGAGCTGCTCGTGTGTCTTGCCTCGGTTTAACTTATTAGATGACTGTTGACCGCGTATGCTATCCAGTTCAGCCTTAAGAGCTGCCCGTTTGTCGTTTCCAGTATCAGACTTGTTCGTCGAAGATATTTTTGCCCGGACGGCAGCCTAAGCGTGGAGTTGTGATCATGAGTCTCGCACCGAGTAGGGAATCGAGTAAAGCGCGCACAAGTTTAGTCTGCAAGCCATCGATTTCAGTTCTGATTCTCTCTTGCTCTGCATCAAATGCAGCCTTGTCTGGCTTTCCAGTGCCTGTGACCATAGGCCCACTAAGGTCGGTTTTAGAAAAAGCGGGTGACGAGGGAACCGTAGAGTCAGGTGTCACTTTGGTACTGTGAATTTTAGCAGCACCGTTGCTGGCCGACGATTTAGATTTTTGAGCGGGCATTTTAGTAGGAAGAGATCGTAAGAACGGAAAGACCAAGCCAAGTGGGTAGAGCAAGTTGCACCTAGTTGTGTGTGTGTGAACTTGAGCGAGCGTTTTTATTTTATGTAGTCAAATTGCCGCCTCGAACTCCGGTTTCCGGAGACACGTTGACACCTAGTACTTGCGACGGTGCATACTCTTCTCATGCATGAATCCAAGATAATTAAAGAGGTATAAAATACACGATTGCCAACACAGGTAAAGTTAGAATACAATCTTGTGGTCTAGCTTTGCCACCTCTTTTCGACATTCTTCATACAACTCCCTGTAGTCATCGTCCTTCTCTGCCTCAGTATCTTTCTTTTGGGCTTTGCGCTTCTGGTCAGGGCAAATCATAACGCAACTTGTTGGTCGTTTTGTTGAGCTAGCATGGCCGAGCTCCTCCTTAGACGTCACAAAGACATATGGTATCTGAGCTTCTTCTGAGAGTACTGGGAGGTGAGATATTATATCTATGGGGTTGATATCTGCCGCCAACACAAGCAATCTAACAAGATATCAATTAATTGATTTGATCGATTGAAGACGAAAGAGCACGTACCCCTTTTCCCCTTTGCGAATGCCCTTAACGACTTCCTTTACACCTCTTTTAACTTGCCGTGCTTTCGAAGCTGAAAAATAATGAGCAGATGAACCAGAAAGCAAAAATAAGTAGGCGAACCCTTTTTGATCGTTTTGTGCAGCTTTTTCACAAGCTTTTTCTGCGCCAATGGCTGCGCAAGAGGAGATAAATCTTCCAATGGAATGGTGATTTCTCTCTCCTTCTTCGCTTTTTTCGGGGACTAATATGATATGCACATGAGGACACTTGGAAACATGCGAGGCACTCACCTCCGAGACATCAGCCATTTCTACATCTTCTGCATCTGCATCTGCCTCTGCATCATCAACTTTTGGCTTCTTCTCCTTTTTCTCTCGCTTCTCTGATTTGTCCTTGGGCATGTTGCGAGAGCTGACGCCGTAGCAAGGGGGGGATGCTGAAGACAAGAAAGTTCGTGACTTGACCAATAATCATTCGTCACAAGGTCAAGCTGTCACGCTTCATAATTCAACATATACTTTGAGATGGTACCCTCAAGCGAAACGTTTCCTACGGACTTGCAGTGACAATTATGTGTGTATGCGTTACTACTACTAGGTCCACCACCAATCACCGAGTATCAGTTTCATCATTTCCTGATGGCACATCACCACTGCCCCTGAGTAAGCTAAGCCAAATCCAATTCATCCCCCGTACTTCGGCGTCATACCACCAATTAAGAGCAATGGTAGTTGGGCCAGATTGCTGTACGTAGTGCCACCAACCAACTGGTAGGTACAACGTATCTCCTGCTTCGAGTGTGACATGCAGTGGATGAGCTTCTGGGGGCAGTGATCCAGGAAGATCCGGGTTGATCACCGAAGACCAGCGAACTTGAGGAGTATCTGAAGAAGGGATGACGCTCAGACAGTTACTATTGTCGGTATGACCGTAGACTGCGTGAGGATACATCCGTTCTGAGGCGAACTATAAGTGTGATTCGCATAGCATTGACAAGTCGTGTTACCGTGAAGACACCACCCTTCACAAGGTGGTAGAAGCGTGAAGTGTTTACTTCCACGTATCACAGTATATATATTCTCGTACGGATCTTGTCACCGTGTGAGATGCGGACGGGTCTAATGCGCGCCATTCAAAGGCCTAGTTATTACTTACCGCTATGTATACTGGTTATGCTTTTACTGTTCCCGATCCAAAGGTTTACGGCATCAGGATTTCTGCCTGTGTTCATATTATAAGTGAAAGGACTCGGCTTGTTTGAGTTCCCAACCTAGTGCTTCGGTGACCCATGGGATGTTACTTGGAACATCTTCCCTAAGGGCATCAAATTCTGATGAATCGTCATTTGGTGACTCGAAGAAACGGCTGGAATATATATTCCCATTTTGCGATTGGAGATAGGAAGCGGAGAGGTTATCACTGTTTTGTTCTGCTTGAAATGCGGATTAGCTCATGTTCAATTTTTAGGAGGTAAACGTGTGCAAGTGCCTGCATTAAGTTGTTCGAGGAGTTTCCCCATGGAAACTTTCTCGATAAAAGGCTCCACGAAAAAGAGCCTGCCCCCTGGGCCAGCTGCAATAGCGTCTGCTTGCCTGCTCTGCCCTCAGTCACAGAAGCGCTCAAAGAAATGAACACTCGCCCGTTTGGTGTGATTGCCACTGATATAATTCGGTCTTGTAGCTTGGTTTGCAAATAATCATCGGTCCATCGTTTCAAGGCTGGGATTTGGAAACCTGAACTTCATATCACGGGCTGTTCTAAGCTGTCTATTGACATGAGGGGACCTTTGATGACAACAGGCCTAGATATGTGGACTAGCTGTGCAAACTCCGCTGCTGTGGGAGGACTTTCGAGTGTTTGAATTGATGAGCCATTCATATCTAAGTAAATTTTAGCAAATAATCAATAAGATCAGCCTAAGAATGAATTCCGTTACCATGATACTCTTGTGATATCCACCTTACGATATCGTGGGTTAGACTCGGCGATGCTGCTTGATCCAACTCCAGGGCCATCTGTGAGGCTCTGCTCAAAGTCTGTGCCAGTAGTGTGGCTCGATCGCGTGAAAGTCCACAATTGCAAGATTGAGTGTTACTCGAAAAGGTAATTTCATAGTATTCGAGGTCACATGCAACGCGATCTTCGTGGTCAGACGCGTTTCCGAACTTTCGATCATTTCCGGTGCTCAAACTCAAACCCTGCACGCTCTTTGCACGCCTTCAACTCCCTGATCTTCACATGAGATGACTGAGAAACGCCAAAGCAGAGTTACACGAAGCACGCGTGCAAAGCAGGTACGTGTGGCATTCATGTGACCCGTTCCTGACGTTGAAGGCACGCAGGCATCCGCTCAGAAGACTCTGGACGACTTGTTCCAGAAGGATGAGGAAAAGAAACATTCGGAAGAAGGTTCGAAAGAACCGGATGGAGCCAATGCGTCATCTTCGATACATCCAGTAGACATCATAGTCATTGATGACGAACCAACCCCACCACGTCCTAAGGCACCCCGCAGAGCTATACGGGATTCTGTCCGTCAAAATCACAGTGAGTACTATTTGATATGAGCACTCTTCTTTATCATCTCAGTTTCACAGTCCAAGCGGTAAAATTGTTCCCTATTTTCGGGACTCCATCCATAACGCCCATGCAGTCTGCTCACTCAAATTCTACAACTGCGAGTAGAGACACCGGTGGAGATATTCTTATCGAACTATCTGAGGATGAACATCCACCGTCATCTCATCAGTCCTCTTCGTCACCTCCAGAAATGAATTCCCTTCACCAATCACCATCAATCACCGTTTTATCATGTATCGAGGACATAGACGTGCCAAATGATAGGTACAACATAGCCCTGGTACAAGCTACTGCACCAACAAGTCGTATATACGTTCCAGGGGAAGTCCATCCTCCCTTAAAGCGACAGGTGCTCCTAGGTGATATGACACCGGATGCGCCATATCCAAATAAGGAGACGCAACATGTTCGTGGACCGCAAAATACCTTTAGTCCGAGTTCGGAACCACCGAAACGTCACAAACGCAGTCCGCCAGATACCACAGACGATGTGTCTTTAAGTTTCCTTTCTTCTTTATCGCAGGGATACCAAGATCCTCCTCTTCAACAGTCGATTTTTCTCCGAATCTCCTCGCAGTCCGAACGTGAAGATTATCTTGGTATTGACGGGCCCCGTGATGCCGTATATTATCCCGCAATATCTAGATTTTTGAATGGCGAGGATTGTGCCAATCGGACAGCTTCTGTGCCGCCACAGCAAGAAATATGGACCACTCGCTTCCGCCCCAGGAAAGCGGATGAAGTGCTAGGGAATGAATCGCGTGCGTTGTATATTCGAGATTGGCTCAAAGCTCTCGAAATTCGGCTGCATGCTACAAACTCCCCTCCCGCGAAAAGTAGTGCAATTGTCACAGGCAGGCGGAAAGTCAAGCCTGACCCCCCCGACAGGGCGCCCAAGCGACCTCGTGTCATTCGAGCTGTGGCTAAAAAAAGAGGCAGGAAACGACGGAGGCTGGATTCCGAGGACGAGTTAGATGTTTTTATTGCTTGCAGCGAGGACGAAGACGATACGATCATGGATGCGCCAGAGGAAGAAACTGATGCCAATGATTTTGATTTTTGCCAGCGAACACTTTCGCGCCTCCAGCGAAAGGACACCTCTCGGCTATTAGAGCAACGTCCACCGACCTCAGATATTGGTATCGACAATATCCCGACCATTCCAAATTACCAATCCTCTGACGCTAATTTTACCGATACTCTAACGAACACACTTATTATAACTGGGCCTCCAGGGTGTGGGAAGAGCGCAGCAGTTTATGCGTGTGCAGACGAGCTGGGGTGGGAAATTTTCGAGGTCTATCCTGGAATTGGAAGACGCAGCGGCGCAAACCTCGATAACCTCGTTGGAGACGTGGGTAAAAATCACCTCATCCAACAGACGAGGCCAAAATACCGGACGGCAGCTGCACAGTGTGATACAAGAGCGAGCGCTGCTCTTTCGACGTTTTTCCCTAAAACAGGGAAAGCCAACCCCAAACCCTCGCCAACAGACTCAGATACCGAGCATCCTAGTGATGTTGACACACATGTCCTCGTGGATGCTGCCAGTGAGTCCCTGCAGGACACGGTGGAACCACCTGTAACCGTTGATGAACGAGTTGGCTCATTAAAAACAAATGGACCGGCGAAACCGTCTGCTACGGCTCGGCAATCACTTATTCTCCTTGAAGAAGTCGATATATTATTCAAGGAAGACGCTGGCTTTTGGCCGGCAGTGGTAGACTTGATCAAGGAGTGCCGCCGGCCCGTGATCATGACATGCAACGGTACTTGTGCTCTAATCATGTCGACTTTTCCAGAACTCAAACTCGCCTTGACAGACATTAAACTTGTCCCCGTTGCGGATCTTCCTTTGCAGTCCGTTCTGACGTTCCAACCTTGCCCTTCCGAGCCCGCTGTCACGTTTTTGCAATGCTTGTGTGCAACACAAGGATACGCTATCCCAAGAGATAAGTTAATCCAGCTTTACGAAACCACGTACATCGTGCAGAGTATGGATCTTCCAGACGCGCCGCTCAACCCCAGAACCGAACCACTACCACCACCGGATCTCAGGCGATCTATTACCCAGTTGCAATTGATTTGTACTGACGCCACCCACGAAGCTAAGGTCCCTCAAGAAGCACAGGGGGCCGCTGAAAACATTCCGTCACTCCCTATGACAATTTCCGCCCAAAGCGGTGCTGATGTTTCTGAGACATCGACGGAAGAGCTGTGGCGATGGGTTTCCACTTACACGGATTGTGTTTCGTATACCGACAGCTATCTCTGCAGGGCACCATTAGATGGACATGAGGTGAGGGCCACAAAGCACATTTTTCCCGCCGCTTTTCTAACAGTTCACCATTCGAGGCCCTGTCATACAACCTATCTGAATCTTTGCTTGACGATGAATTGGGACACGCCACACTAATCCGGCCGTCCCACGTCTCTGACACGAGAGATGGACTTGCCTTCTATCACAATGATGAGCTCATTGTGCAGGACGCCATCCACCTTTCACGTGGTAAACACGAGGTTTCGGGTGCTATTCCGATCACAACGTCGATCAACCCCGCGGCTAGTGGTTCTAATACTGACATGGAAACAAGGCTCTTCCGAGCTCGCGTGGAGCATCAAGCACAGATGCTAACCGCATTGCAGGATATCGTTCAACCACCCGCACCTCTCATGCCCCAGAGCAGCGTGTACCTTGATTACATACCGTGGGTGAGATTCATGGTTAATGTGGATGATATTCTTGAGCGATTAGCGTGGGATGAGATGGAGAAGGTGAAGTCTGGGAGATTAACAAGGAATAGTATGAAGGCGAGACATATACGGACTATTGATTTAAGAGAGGATCAACATCAGGCGCTGGTTTGTACTAGAATCCAGGGGCTCGAGGAGGATTGATGGAAATGGTGGATAGTTTACGAGAGTTGCTGTGTTGTAGCCCTGCGATAGCCTGCGATGTGTGATGGTATACCCAGGCATTTTACCGGTGTTGTAAACTTTCCCTCCTTGCCAACTGAGTGAGCAGAGAAAGGTTTCATAAAAGCTGAAAAAGGAATAAATCTTGGCAAACTCACTCGTTAATTTAGCCTTTTTGGAGGTGTGCGTTGCCACGTGCTCGTAACCCACGTTGCTGTACGCCGTATCTGGTAACTGAGTTTTAGTTCTATAACGTCGACATTCACAAAGTCATTCACATCGACCATCCTTAGGCCGTCTCTTAACTACTCTTCAACATCCTATTTACACAGGCATAATGCCTGCATCTACAACGACTGCTACGATCAAGCACGTCAATCTCTTTTCCCAACCAAAGGATAACACCGACGGCACCCCTGCACTGAAAGATGTATCCAGACATTCCCCACTCATTTCTCTTCCTCCTCTCGATTATTTACAACAGCATCGTAGGGGCTCTATCACAGATCCATCTCTACACGCTGCCTCGGCAAACTCGTCTGCAGCTTCCCGTCATATAGATGGTATTGATTTTGCTTCCCGTGCTATCATCCATGTCCGTCGCTAATGCCCCGGCATCCTCTCAGGACCACGTCCAGCTGCTAACTACACTTTCGGTGATGGCGGAGGCTCAATACACAATTCCGAGTCTTCAAGTAAACAAATGCGCAAGATATTGCGTTCCCCATCTGCAGAATGGGAGCCTGCAAAGGGTATTGCACCTCTACAGACATCACTTCCTCCAAACGGGGGAACTAGTGAGTTTGAAGTATCATTTGTTGTACGCATCTTGTGAACATAGAGGTGGTAACGTTGTCAGAAACCACCGATCACATGAACGTGGACAGCAGTAATGAGAAACAATCGCCCAGAGTTAATACACGACAAGCAGACGACAGTGATCACAGTTCACGAAGGCAATCGATTGCTGTAAGTCATCGACGTCACATTCGAAAACCAGATTTTGACAGATCTACAGAATTCTTCGGATTCCCAAATGCCACACGGAACGAAACGAAAGACGTCTACTTACAGAGAAGCCGATACAAGTGACGACACAGATTCGCAACTGGTAGGACCTGGGGTACCTAGTCCCATGAACATCGATTCAGAAGGACGCGCACAAAAACGGCGAGGATCGACCATTGAAATGAGCAGGATAGCCCAGCTGAGCATATATGACCAGAGGCGACATTCAGTGCATTCTGGAGCGATAGCGTCAAGGGCGAGCACAGGAGTATCAGGAGGAAATGGGCACTGGTGGTTGAATGAGAGACGGGATTCCTTACCACCGTCGTTCCCAAACGGGACCACTAGTGGCTACCCCTCGGCATTATCCGGCGATCAGCCACATGGTCGACCTGCTGCACCCTCGACGCCAGGCAGCATGGCGACTTTCGCGTGGTCTGCAGCACAACACCCGGACGGTTCGCAAGATCCTAATATACAGCACCACCCCCGTTCTTTCGAAACACAACCTATGCAGATGACCATGATGCCCCCGATGACATTCCCGCCAGACAGGCGGATGTCAGTGCCAGAAAGCTCGACTTCTACAATAGGACCGACAAGAAATATCCGTTCGCGGTCCCGACCTCCATCGCGTCAATTACGCGAAAATAGCCAGACTGTCACTCCTGCTATAGGGCCTGCGCCACCTGCGGAGGAGCCTTGTTCGGCTCCTTCTCCGTCATCTAGCCTGAAACCGCCGAAGGAGCCGGGATCTACACCTTACTCTCGTTCACCCGAGCTGCGAGTTTCGCATAAGCTTGCCGAGCGAAAGCGACGGAAAGAAATGAAAGACCTATTTGATGAGCTGCGGGACCAGCTGCCCGCAGATCGGGGCATGAAGGCGAGTAAATGGGAAATACTTAGCAAAGGTATGCAGACCGGGTCTCTACACGCGCACGGCAATCCTTGACATAACGTATGCAGCTATCGACTTTGTTACCAATTTGAAACAAAGTCACCAAGACATGGTTCGTGAGATCGAGATGCTGAGACACGAGCTGGAAAGCATGAGACAAGGCATACCATCTTTTGGTCCAGGAGCACCACCCCACGCTATGGTGTATGGACAGGGCGCACCAGTTCCAGGACCATATCCACCACCTCCAGGAGCGATCTCTCATCCTCCACCGCACACGCATCAGCAACCGCCCCATCCGCCTCAGCCCCGACCACCATCGTCGGAGAATCCATATCCGGCAGCACCCACCACCCTTTCTTCAGCTCCAGCAGGAGCACCACCAGCGCCAACCACCAATGGTGTGGCGAGCATACCAACGAACAAATCAGAGGTACAGCCGATGTAGTTGGTAGACCTATCCTGGCCTCCCCTGGCCTCTTTCCCTCTGCTGAATCCTACGATTTCTTTAAGTTACGAGCTTGTGATTAGCATGGTTGTTCTCATTTTTATGGACAAGTTTTCACGATCACATGAAGTGTACATAGTCTTCTCCTTAGGTTATCCTCTCCTCGCAATTGTTATGATGACTATCAAGCATCCTTCATATCATCATCTGCATGATCAGGTATAGGAGAAAGACGTTAGCGCTGCGAACCATGCCTTATGTCAGCATGTGAGCCTTGTTCTCCAACACTGGTTATTGCTGCTCGCTTGTGAAAACAAAACTGTATACATGCTCTCTGGTGATTCTGTCCTTTCCGCTCGTTAACTCGTGGCTGTCCCAGTCGTCTACTGCGCTGATTAACTGATACCACCATCAAGACTCGTCTTCAAGCCGTCTTTCCAATGCCCCCAAAATCGGCTGAATCTCTTCTATTTCACAAGAAGAAGGTAATAAAGAAGGAGCCCTCTACACCGTCGACGACTTCACAAGGCTCTCAACTATCCCAATCACAGCAATCTCAGTCACAGCAATCTCCCCGCAAATCCGTTACTCCCCGCGTACAGCCTACCCCACCTGCCGGTGATGCAGATGACAGTTCTAAGCTCCCGGATGGCGAGTTTTCCGAATTCAAGCTTATGTCCTCTGCTCTCAATGGATGGAAGTATGATGTTATGAAGTTTGATTCGAGAAAGACTGTAGACATATCAACTTGGGAGGAACCGATAAAGTTGAACAGGAAGGAGTTGAGAAGGGAGGAGGCCGGTCCATCTCAGGTGCCTACGGGACATATGCTGGGGCCTGACGGAAAGCCTGTTATTGGTTCGGATGGGAACATCGTCATGGTTGATGCGGATGGTCGGCCGATAGCAAAGGACAGTGGTGAGACTCAGTCGAAGGACAAGGACAAAGGCAAAGCTGGTGGGCGGAAGAAATTTCAGAAGAAGACACGGCAAGTGTTCTTAGTGCCTGAGGCAACCCGTCAGCTGCGACGCGAGGAGCGTTACCCCTGGGTGATGGAGGACGCAAAGCAGAACGAGATGTGGGTAGGGAAACTGGAGGAGGTGGCGAGGGCCGAGACACACGCTCTCTTTATGCCAGCTGCACAAGAATTCTTCAAATTCGTACCTGCCCATCGCTGGTACAAGTTCCAGAAGAAGCCTAAACATCATGTCCCTGGATTAGAGGAGGCGGAGGCTCTGGTATTTTGTTCACTGTATATGCATCGCTGTAATCTGACGCTTCCCCTTAGATGGCCAAGATTCAAAAGAACAAGGACCCGGAACGTTGGCTGCTGCACCGGAGAAAAGGGCAAGCACCCTCGTCAGCAACATCAGAAATGTTCAAAGCGGAGGCGGAAAACCGTGTCATATCTGGCAGCTCGTCTTTGGTCTACTCGTCTGGACAAAGTCGAGCTATGGGTGGACGGGCACTGCGGACAACGAACCGCGGGGCTCAGGGTGGTGGCGATGACGACGACGAAGGTGGTCCTAGAAGAAAGAAGGAGGAGAATGACATGGAAGGAGACTTGGATGAACAGCTTTTTGATGATGAGTTTGCGGATGATGATGAAGCAGGTCCTGCCGATATGGACGAAGAGGAGGCCAAAGAGTTAGAGGTATGTCAACCCTTCGGTATTCCCATTATAGCGCTGACATTCACACAACAGGAACGCCTCAAACGAGAGTATAAAAGTGCCAACAAGACCCGCGAAGGCTATGTCGATGAGTCGGAGTCTGAGGATGGGGAGAGCCAGCTGACGAAAGATGGCAAATCTTTGAAGAAACTCATGCGCAAGCTGGAGAAGAATGCAGCATACGATAGCGATGAAGAGCGTAATCCATATGCGAGCTCAGTGTGTCCCTTTCCTTACTTCTGTGTATGCGTGCTAATACTGCGGCAGAATGACGAGGAAGAGGAAGAAGAACCAATTCCTCCTCAAGAGCCACCCCAAGAGACTAAATCTCGATCAGCTTCCCAACAACCAACCCCGAAACCATCGCAGCCGCCTGCCAGCACTGCTCAAAACGGTTCTGCTGTTGGCTCTCGCGCTACTTCACCGGCGCCTGCGAGTATGGGTGGTCATTCTGTTGTTGCAAAACGCGCCACAAGTCCCAAAGCACCGAAAGTTAAGACAACTTCTACGAACAACGGTCGCGTAACTAGCGGTCAGGGTACTGGAAGTAGGGCAACCAGCCCTGTCACTGGTAGCAGAGCAACTAGTCCTTCACCTCTAGCTAAGGGTCCAGGAAGCCCGACGCCAAATGGACAGCCAACGTCGAACAAACGCAAGGCCACTGACGACCTCAGCGCTAATGCACCGTCGGCGGGCGCTGTAGTGAATGGTGCACCGAAGCCGAAGAAACGGAAACCGCTTCCCACTGGCCCACCCCCGGAAGGTGAATTGGAGGAGAAGATGCTCGTCAAGTGGTTACAGAATACGCCCAACGCGACAACGCGGGACTGTATCCAGCATTTCACGCCTTACTTGACTACAGATGCGAAGAAGGCAAAGTTTACAGCGATGGTGAAGGAGGTCGCTCAGTTGAGGGGGGGTATCTTGATCTTGAGGAATAGCGAGGCTTCTGCAGCTGCCTCGCCGACATCTTAACTCACTGTGACTTGAGGGATTGTACTTTAGATTTCTGTGAACGACGCCGTCGTGCTCTGGATTGATCTAGGTCCTATGAGGTTTTATACAACTGGTTTAGTCGGATAGCCCTGGGGATAACCCAACTGGAAGAAAAACTGCATCACATTTATGCTCGAGGTCGGTCGACATTCTTCTAGTGTATATTATAGTGATTCTCATGGTCCTCCGTAGGCAAGTAGGTATTTAATTTGTGACCTGGCGGGAACCAATCATATTGCAACATTAATTGTGACAATCGGGTCATAACTTACTGAGACTCGTCGGCATCTCCGCAGGCATACTGAGCAGATCACAACGTTCGAGATGAGTTAATTCACTTTCTACTGGACAATGATACTGCCTTGCTCGCCTGTTTTCAAAGGTCAGGCGAGACGTCTACTACTGTCGAGCAACTCTGGGCCAACACCGTCATGACCAGCGTCGTGCACAAAGATCAAATGCCAAAAAAGGAAGTTAGTATTCGTTGTTGGGCGGCTAACCAGCAGAATTCCTTTACCTGCCGCATAAAATGGGCAGCTTGGTTTGTCTTCCTCATTCTCTCTTTCTTCTTCCTTCCATCATCTCGCCGTTTCCTTCACACCCACTACTATACATTACCCTCTTTTTGTTCGTCTTCTACATATCGCCATGTCACGTCTCTCTACTATCCTCCTCCTCGCCACCACTGCCGTCTATGCGTCCGTCACCCCCGCTCACGAATCTCATACCGAGAACAAGCTCCCTAGTAACAGGTGGTATCATGAAGACGATCATCCAGTACACGCCCTCTTCAAGCGTGGACCAGTCAGCGATGGTATTATTTATCCCGCAATAGGAACGCCAGGCAAGCCTTTGTATTTAATTTTCTTCACTCCCGCTTACTCAACACGTATGTTCAGATTGGTCCGCTGGCTTCCCCCCAGCTACTGCGGATACTACGACGCTCCCAAAGGCTTGGGTGGATGCTCTTAACGCAGCCGCCGCCGCGGGCAAGATTCCCGATATTCCCCAGTCTACAAGTACCAATGGACTGGATCCCGTATACCCCTCTGGGTATGACCCATCAAGCGCTACCGTTTGCTCCTCAACTGCCAAGTGTGTCACGCCAGGTGACGTGTGGGACGCTCCGCCAGGTGTTATCGCCCTTAGTTTTGACGATGGCCCGCAACCGGTACGTACCTAGTTATTGGATGCGTTACTCAAACGATAGCTGATAATTCGCGCATCGTTCAGGCATCAGATCAACTGTATCAGTTCCTCGCTAGTCACTCGGAACATGTGACGCACTTCTTCATCGGCACCAACATTCTCCTGTATCCCGACCAGTTCAAAACCGCATTCGAGACGAACCAGGATGATATCGCCGTTCACACTTGGACTCATCCATACATGACCACCAAGTCGAACCTCGAGGTTGTCGCTGAGATCGGATGGACGATGGAGCTTATCCACAACTCGACGGGCGGGCGTATCCCCAAGTACTGGAGGCCGCCTTACGGTGACTCCGATATGCGCGTCCGGGCTGTTGCAAAGGAGGTGTTCGGGCTCACAACCGTCATCTGGAATCAAGAGTATGTGATTTTACTGAAAATGAGTTCATTTTTACCGATACCGACTTCAATCTAGCACTGATGACTGGACCTTGAGCGAGCCTGTCCCATTGACCACGCCAGAGAAAATCCAACAGCAGATGACACAGTGGTTGACTGGTATGTTGTTGTCATCGTCTGCGGTGTCTGATACTGATTGTGCCATGTAGGTCCAAAGACCCCCGGACTTGTCATTTTGGAACACGAGTTGTCTGATCTATCCGTCAAGTCATTCATAGACGCATACCCGATGATGGTTTCAAACGGCTGGACGAGGTTATCTCTTGCTCAGTTAGATGCTGGTTCAGTCTACCAGAACGCCTGGAACTCAACATCACAAGTCATCCCAGCAAAAGTAGGCGACTTGGCCGTCAAGCCCCCGGCCCGCGCCAGCACTACCGGTGCAAAACCGACGGCAACCACTACGAAAATGTAAGCTTATTTTTCTTCAGTGTCGACGCAACTGATTATATGACAGGCCGACTTCGTCCTCGCTGTCATCTGGAAAACCTGCCTCTTCCAATAAGCCTCTTGGCAACCAAAAGAGCGGGGCGACTCACTTCAACGCTGCGTCCCTTGCACTTTCTGGCGTCATCGCAGTCATTATCGCAGCTGCAGTTGGAATTATCATGGCATAAGTGTACCGGATTGCAAGAGACATTCATGGACTTCGCACATTACTATCCTACAATTGTACAACCGTGCACAATCCGGTTACATTATATTACATCTTATTATTTTTGGCGAACATGGATTATTCACACAATCATATGGGATCTAAGCGTGTTACTGCCTGGCGCGCACTATGTCTTCTTTGCATCGGCAGCCTTAACGTAGCGGTCTTATGAGCAAATCATCTTGGGAAGAATAGCGTTACAGTAGGTCACTTCCTCGACGTCGCAGTCTTCAACATTGTTTTATCTAGTTGTTCAAGACTTTCATCAAGACACATGATGTAGTACAACAACAGGTAATACTTGGAAGATGCCACATAGTGAGATATTTGTGTACAGCCGAAATTTGCTAAATTACATGTACAGAAAAGGGTGATCGTGAAGGTCGTTCAACAATTCGTAAAAGAATGAGGAACATGAAAAGACTTCATGAACGAGCGAACTCAAGAAAGCAGCATGGAAGGAGGTCGACTCAATCAGCGTGAGCGCGCGGGTGACGTGCTCAATGTAAGGGCTGTATGCAATGAAGACAATAAGACTCTGTCAAAACGTAGTCCGTAGTACAGTCCTGAAGTTCAATTACGACAAAATGCTGGGCCACTTGATTCGCAGGCCCTCCAACCAACGCATGTAGAGCAACTCAGAGATAGGTGACTTTCGGACGGGTGATCCAGAGCCGTCAGCTTTGAGGGAGTGTGATGATGAGGTGCTCGAGTCCATGGGGAGTCCACTGATATCTTCCTGGACTTCGGTGACCACAAGGCCTTTTGCGGTCATCTCGCTCTTCCGGATGACGCGTTTGTGAGGAAATAGTCCCCGAGATGTTTGAACGTATTGCCGGACAGAGGGGTTTCTAGCACATTTTGAAAATAAATGAACGGAAATCTCAGTTCAGCTAGTGGATACGCACTCGTTGATACCGGAGAGCATGTCGAGAATGACGCTGTAAGATAGGGCAGGATTCGCCTCTCTCAATTCGGCAAAGCCACGAGAGATCATACTGAGTGACTCGATCTCTCGAGCATCCATGTCATCTCGGATGGCCTGTCGTGTATTGTTATACTTTTGTAGTGGTATACTTGGGAATAACTCACATTTTGGAGAACGGGGAGGACGACATCATCAATCATGACCCTTCCCGCCCGCTCAGCATCAGATACCCTCCGCTTGAATGACGAAGAAGGCCGATCTTTAGATGGAGTAGTAGGGGATGATGGCGAAGTTTCTCTACTCCTAGTCCCGACGTACTCTGCAGATAGTCTCAGAGAACCAGCTGCGTCGACTCTTTTGACAGGTCTGATGGTGTCTACGCCAGAACCTAGATCTGCTTCCCGCATGATAGTACCAGCACCAGTCATCTTGTGTCTTGCAGCGTACGAAGACCTCATTGCCGAGCGAATGGAGCCGGTGTATGCGGGAGGTGAGCCCAAAGGCGTTTCATCATCTGCAGGGTGGGTAATTTGGGATGGCGGTGTTCTTGGTTCGGCACCATCGACAGACTCGCTTTCTGAACCTTCTTCAGCAGCGAGAAGCGCTGAAATGTCTGGTTCATCGAGAGGAGTCTTGATGGCAACAGTGGAGTGCGCTGCACCAATGTTTATTCCGATTCCCCCAGAACCGGACGGAGCGCTTCCATTAATAGCTCCTCCTGTTTCAATCGAGCCCTCGTCATCCTCGTATATCGAGCGTTCCTCGTCACCCATGTCTTCATCGTCCATGTCAGGCACCAAATCCTTGGCAACACTACTAAATGTACCCATAATGGAGGTCGACTTGACGGTGTCGAAGTTCCAGTCACTTCGAATTGTGTCGTTGCTCTCCCACATTGCTGTGCCACGAATAGTCGCTTGGTATGCTGTAGGCTGACCTTTCTGTGGCGACTTGGCACGGAACTCCTGGTACCTCTCGACCAACTCTGTGAGATACGATGTCTTCTTTGCGCTTTTGATAAATCTATGTTGCAAAAGTTCCTTGGCTGTAGGACGCTACAGCGACTGTCAGGGCATTTCAAGCACTGGACAAACAAATCCGAACTCACATCAGCAGGGTCTTTCGTCAAACAGAGTGATACGAATTCCTTGAATGCGGCAGAGAATGAACCTTCAAGGACTGGTGGTTTCGCCTTTGGAATAAGGAAGAGAACCCGCATGGGGTGATACTCGGCCAGTGGCGGCTCTCCTTTCGCCATTTCTATAGCTGTGATACCTAAACTCCACATATCCGCCTTCGCGTCGTAACCCGCCTGTCGGATGACCTCCGGTGCCATCCAAAATGGAGTACCCACGAATGTGTGTCTCAGCGTGCTGGTTAGTTGTGCCGCCACTCCGAAATCGGCAAGTTTGACCTTTCCACTAGCAGAAAGTAAGACATTGGCAGCTTTGATGTCACGATGGATGGTGCCTTCCGCGTGCAAATAATCGAGACCTAACAGAAGCTCCCGACAAACAACTGCGATGTGCGCTTCAGAGAACACGCCGCCTTTCAGGAGGTCAAGACATGATCCCCCAGCCAGGTACTCCATGACGATCCATAGCTTGTAAGCAACAACGAATGACCCGTAATAACGGGTGACGTATTCCGAATCACATTGAGCGAGACTGGCAATTTCTTGCTGAATTTCCGAGATATCATCATCAGAGTCTTCTAAATCTATTTCAAAGATAAAGAGATTAGGCTCCAACACAATATCAAGCCCGGCAAGCTACACACCAATCTGCTTGATAGCAACTATCTGCTTTGTTTCGTTGTGCATAGCCTTGTATACGACCCCGAAGCTGCCTGTTCCCAGCTTCTCGATGAGCGTATACTGACAGGCCGGGTTGTTGCTTGGAACGGGGTAAGGCTCCCTGGGATACATCTCCCTATCCTGGTTTGTCTGTGGCGACATCGAGCACGAGCGAGAGGCCAACTGTCCATTACTGAGGTTAGTCAACGAGAGATTTCTGAGGCGACTACCAGGCAACATGGTGTGGACAGAGCGCTGACAGGGCCTAACACATGGGGCAACAGGTTGCTGTGTGACATCAACTCATGTCGAACAAAATTAAGAAGACTTGCTCCACACGTGTTCGGGGGATCCCCGTCCAAGTCTGTGAAAGGACTGGATAGAGTAGATAGGGAAGAAACGGACTGACCAAGTACGGGAAAGGACTTTGATGTCGTTACCCTTGATGTCAGGCTAACTTGATTGTCGCAAGTGCACGAGGAAACTGCAAGGCTCCTTGCTTATTATGATTCTAAGATTGGTTTGAAATGAACTTTGGATCTCCAGCACCTACTACGACTTGACCTGAGTATGGAGTGGCGATGGAGTATTGTATAGTTTCGTGAGAGCAGTTGAAGATCCATCATGGATACAACAAACACGAGGCCGTAATATTGTCACGACACCAACTGGGATCATTGACCCGGGGATGTTGTGATTGTGGAAGAGCGCTCACGTGCACGTGTCCCAGGTAGTACCGATCATACAATAGTCAAGCCACAATAGGTGCATTTGTCTCAAAGAAGTATGCTGGATCAACTTCCAGGGAAAGGAGTCATGGCATAGCATGCATGTCGAGTTGATCAAGGCGTAGGGCATACAAATATAAAAATGCAAAAACAGAAAATCTCCAGCATGATGACGGGCCCTCTCACACCCAGCCAACAACACATTCACGCTTATGCCTTGACGGCATATTTGCGAATGGGGAAGTGTGTCTCCTTCTTCTTTTGCTTAAGCGTCTTCAATGATTCCTCGTGCTAGTGCAGATATGTGGCATAAGTTAAGCATATCTTGCATAGCGACTCTATGCGCACCTTGGTCAGTCTCCGTCTAATAGCGCGTGTCTTCTTTGGCCGGAGATCAAGAGGGAGGAATTTCTTGTTCTTGTAGAATTCCCGGAGGTTTTGGCGTTGCTTCTGGTTTATCACAGTCAAGACCCGTGCAATCGACTTGCGCACAATGTTGCTAGTTAAGTTAGTCCTTTCGCACCGAACATTTAAGAATTTCAAACGTACATTCTGGTGAGTTTTGAGGCCGAGCCACCAAGAATCTTCTGTACGCGCAGCGAAAGAAGCTCGGTCTTGAGCTCATTAAGTTGCTTGGTCAAGTCGGTCTTCGACCTGTGTATATCACGCAACAAAACGTTCTGCAATCAGCGCAATCTCTCGCATTGGCATTATAGGCTCACTTTGACTGGAGCTCGTAGGCCTTGACTTTGCTGCTGGGCATTTTGAGGGATGTCTGTACAATGAAATGAAAGATAGTTAGCACCGAGTCTAAGAGATCGACCAAACAGATGCGGAAAAGAGCGGGACGAGACCGATATGCCTGGAAACGGTCCAGGATGCCTCAAGAACATGGTCGAGCACCATAACGACTAGACATTTACCTTGAGGGGGCTGTCGTACGGTACGTCCGCGACGGGCTCGATAATTCTGGCGCTACGCGGTGTGGTACTATACAGTTTATGAGCCACTTTTCCCACGCCCAAAGAGGTATTCCCCTGTGGCCCAGTCACGTATAATGTTTTCCGGAATCTAACATACGCGCTACATATTGATACTACTGGTTGCTTGCTTTCACTAATTCATCAAAGCTCACAACCCCTCCAAAGATATCCAATGAACTAGAGTGACAAGAATGAGTTATCTATTAAACATCAAGGGATCGTGCTTACCTGCCATATGTCAAGTCCACTTGTCCTCCCGAAAGTCTATTCACCGTTTCCAAGTCAGAAATGCCTTAGCAATACGTCGAGTCAGGATACAATATACTCAGGGACCTAACAGCCTACTTTTAGCTCCTCCAGCGTATGTAGTAGGAATCGTCACCCACTCGCCAAGCTCTTATGAAAAGTCAGCAGCGAAATGACAATATCGAAGGATGCGCAAACTTTTTACGAGCTCTTCGTCAATACCTTGGCATAGTCCTTCCACATCAGCTGCATGGATGAGAAACTCACTGCGAGATGAAAGGTCATCGCGACGGAGACAGAGTGCCCATGAGTCTGTCTCACTTGCAATGCTGTGCCAGCATGTCGAGATTCTCTGGACATAAAATTCAGCGCCTATTGGACGAAAGATTATGAAGAGTCCTTTACCTTTGTTCACCTCCATTGTAGTGATATCCTGCCATTTATTCATAGCAACAAACCACTTGTCTCCTCGCCGGCGACAGCTGAAATTATCATGAGATCCTTCTGTTCGATGAGTAAAGTAAATGACGTGCCTAACATCTACAACGAGCTTGTCCTTTCCAACAAGAGATGAGATTGTCTGCAGACGCTCCAAGTCGAAGTTGCCGCCGGGAAAGAGGTAGGATGTGACAATGATCTAGGGAAGAAGTAAGTTGGCGCCTTGCGCAATTCGCTTGTCTAACCTTGCTCGCGCCCGCATCAAGCCATTCTTTGGCATTGTCAGCGGTGATACCCCCGCCGATCTGTAAATGATCTAGAATTAAGAATATGTCGGTCAAAAGCATCATTTGAAAACAATATGATAGACGCGAACCCCGCCATTCTGCCAATGCTCTCCTGGCTGCCTCGTCATTCCGAGGCCCCAGTTTTATGACATGTCCTCCCTCCAGACCATTGTCACGATACTTTCCCGCAAAATATTCTGGAGGTTGCCTGCGGGGACATTCATCACTCAGAGAAAGGGCCAGAGTGCATATACGCACGTTGCGACAAAATTCGTCTTCAATCCGTCATCATTGCGATCCGAAAGAGTGCCCCCGACGATTTGCTTTACTTGTCCTTCATGTAGGTCAATGCATGGGCGGAACGTGCTACGTCGTTGCTCAGGAGCCATTCTCGGAATTGTCCGAGAAGTTGCAACTACAAGTACGCGTCTGAGATTCGATCCAGCAGAGCTGGAACCGAAAGCATATTGTATCTTCAATTGATGGTATCATACAAGTACAAAAGCGTTTTCAAAGCAATCCGAAAGCGTGACGGCGGATCCCGTGCTTTAGTACTCGAAAGAGGCCTCCATGATTCTCGTCAGATGCTCTCTCCCATCCTCGCCTGCCACATTTCCGATGTTCGGAGCCAAATCCAAAACGCGACGTTGCGGAAGCGTGCCTTCGACTAGCATCGAGATGTCGCTTTTGTTATATCCCACGGCCTTCAGCCCACGAGGAACACCGAGTCCATCGAGGAAGGACGCGATAGACTCGAACAGATATGCGCCAACCTCGGAGTCAGGGATGCTTGTTATCGAAGGGTCGGTAACGGTCACACCAGTTGAAAACAGCAAGTGCTTCGCGATGACGGTCAGGAGAAGATGGAGCAGTGAATTGGAAGACCGCGGGTCCACTCAAAGCGACACTACAGGATTCACGTTCAATCTCCGTCTTTTGAAGTGTCAGTATTTGAATCACCTGATCCCGTGGGGAATGATGGGATGGTCAACCACGTATCCAGGGTGCTTGTACTTCGGGCCTTTCTTGTTCAAGCCGGATATCTATAGGAAAGCTACTCAGTCCTGATTCCCGACACCATCTGCTGTACGTACCGGGTAGCTCATTCCGTGGCACAGGTGCACACCAGCATTTCCGAAACCAATACCAGCAAAGGAAGCCGCGAGACTAGTTCTAAATCAGAGGAGTAATGTGGGAAACGGGTAGGAAACATACAGCATTTGGCTTCTCGCCTCATGGTCACCACGATCCTTGGCAATACGAGGCAAGTACTTTACAGTTGTACGAAGAGCCCACATCGAGAAAATATCTGCAACGGGGTTGCTTCCTTGGTAGGCGGGTCGTAGAATTGGATTTGCGGGGCGTGGCGTTCGTTCTGTGTAACTAAAAGATCGCTCTGCTGTTTGCCTATTGAAAAGTTCAAGTGCAAGCTCACGGAATGGCTGTGTAGCTCTCCAAACTGTGAAATAACACATCCAACCCTGCGCTGATGTGCACAGCGGTTGGGCAGCTCTCCGTGTTAGCCGTGTCCACGACGCCCAAGACAGGCTTAAGTGCACGATTTGCGATGCCAGTTTTGAAAGCACGTGAAGTGACATCAAAAATAGCTGCACCGGTGGTCTCAGATCCAGTGCCAGCAGTGGTAGGAACTGCAAGTTCATGAGCAAGATTCACACAATATTGATGCAGACATTTCAACCTGCAATGAGAGGCCGCAAGGTTTGCGAGATCGGAAGACCTTTGCCTACGGGAGCATTAACAAAGTCCATGAGATCAGCATCCTTGTAAACAGTGAACCTAAAAGGTGTGAGGTAAACATAACACAGACGAAATATAAGCCTTACAAGTTCGCTGTTTTGGCGGTATCGATGACACTTCCACCGCCGACACTATAACCATGGTGAGTCGCGGTTACACACGGTCGACCGTAACTTACGCCAAGAAGTGGCTGAAATCGTGTTGTCTCGCCCAAGCGATGGCCTTCCTCCAGCTCTCTTCTGTGGGTTCTGCAAGCACTTGATCATATACCTCGAATGGAAGGTCTTCTTGGGATTCCAAAGACTCAAGGGCCTAAAATCAAAGTCATTAACTCTGGAGAAATTGTGTGACAAGAATGCTTACAACTCGCATTGGCTTCAACTTGGCCACAATGGGGTCCGTAAAGACGCCAACCTATTAAGAATAACGATGACCATGGACCGAAGATGTGGGAAGCCATCTGACCTTGCGGGCTTTCATGTTCTTGAGGTCCATACCAACCTCGCGAGTGACGCCCTCTCCAAATCTCAAATTCGATGCTGCAACCTGCATGGGAGCTGTAAGCGGTTATAGCGCTACTTTTCAGGGCGTACCTCGAATGCATACTCCTTTTCAACAGTTTGGACGGGAGTTGCGAACTTCCTGAGTTGGTTGAGGGCAAGAGCACCGTGATGTGCATGGTTATGAGTTGCAGATCTGCAGCCATGGCACGGACACGCTGAATGCTGGGATGCATTTATGAGACGAAAGATTGTACTCCTCGTTGCAGCTGGTGCCATGGTGTGAACTTGGAGGTCCAGAAGAAAGACTTGGTGCCGCGTCGGAGGCGCGAAGAAGACCACGTGAGAGCTAATATTACACGTGTGGGGGTAACACGAAAATAACTTTTTGTATACTACACGACTGCAACGTTGCATGCGCACAACTCCATGAGGCTCAAGTATATTTTTCCTATAAAAACATACACTTCGCCATATAATTTTTACAAGTACATTTGCAGCCGTCCGTGTACAGAGTTCAATGGGACACCTTATCATTTCCTTATTGGGCTTTAGCATTCATTGTCCTGGGACCTGCAGCCTGCTGCGCACACTTGCCCGCATGCACGGTTCTTTTTGTAATATACTTGCTTCAAACTGGACAATGTGCAAGGTCTCAACGTTAACAACTAATTGAGCCTGGTTTTTTTGTGCGAGTACTAATAAGTAGTGCTGTTTCATTGACCCATGATTAATCTGATTTGCTGTAGCCAAAAATAGATACCTGCGACAAAATTTGACATTTGCCTCGTTGATCTATCACAGTTTAGATTCGTGCGGCTTGTTCACGGCTTTGTTGTTACTATCATCATAGACTGCCCTTATATAAGGCTGCACGCACTCCTTCAGCATACTTACACTGGCTCTCGCCAAAGTCATTCCTTTCGCCCTCTGCCATTATGAAGTTGGTACAGGCTTTTTCTCTGGCAGTCCTGGCCGGAGTTTCAGTGGCTGTTAAAATACCTTTCATCCAATCAAAGCCTACGGCCTTACAGCGACGAAGTGGGGGCACAGACGTTTCAATATCGCACCCCCAAGTTCTGTCTTCGGTCTCCACAGCACTTACGCTCAGGCAAGCCATATCTTCACTCCCCAGTTCGACATATACATACCAACCAACTGACTACTGAGATAGCGACGTTCACGATCTCATTTATATGGCAAATGTAAGTACGCTTAGTTCGCTCTCCCATGCCAACTTATTCACCAGGTAATTAGGTTACCCTTGGCGGTGTTGGTAAGTAATAACGTACCTCATTCACACCGTAAGGTGACTCATCGATCAACCAGATTATCTGGTCCAACTTGACACAGGTATTTTCTCCAGCTCCCTTTCCTTTTTCATATCTTACGTCTTTGTTAGGTTCTTCTGACCTATGGGTTCTCAACAGTCCAACACCCATCCCCAATACAAACATTACAGTGAGTGGCACACGCTATTTCTCGCTATAGTTTGCTTACATTCACTAGTCCCAGAACTGTAATCTGACTGTGAGCGCATTTTTGCTTGAATAGGGATCTTCGGTTTAACTTCAGCGCACAAGTATGGCATTGGTTGGGCATATGGCGGTATTTCCTATGTCACTGCCGAGTTTGCAGGGTAAGTAAGCGTTCAAGTGACGTATCATAGACTAATTCAACTTCAAATAGGATATCCGTTCCTTCACAAGCTTTTCTTGACGTCTCATCCGCGCAAAATCCGGCATTATCCTATGGGGCTTCTGGACTCCTAGGGCTAGGTTTTGATTCATTATCAACTATAGATGCTCTCGTGAACGCCACTGGTGCATCGACGGGCCGCAGTCTCCTCTACAATCTTTTCCAAGACAATCCTTCCGAACCCAACTTTATCGCATTATCCCTGCAGAGTACGTCAGATGACGATCAAGTTACAGGCAGCTTCGCAATTGGTAAGTTGACGGTATTGCTCTTATATGTACTTGTTGACGTATTAGAATGCAGGCGAGACTGAGCCCCAATATTCCAATGTCACAAGCACCAACAAAATCCCAACTTGGCCCGTCAACTCTCCAACGCGTTGGAATGTGCTATTGGACTCCTTCATTGTTGGCACAGAGACCTATTCAGTTTCCACTGGCGTGCAGGGAGCACCATCAAACAAAGCAGTTGTTCTTCTGGATAGCGGCACATCGTATACGTGTGTAATCATTTGTGTCAATAGTCGGACTTTATTCACAAGGAGTGCAGGTACGCGCCTACTGACGTGTGTCAAGCCATTTATGGCGGCGTATCTGGAGCTCAGTATAACTCTGGCCTTGGGCAATGGACAGTCCCTTGCGACGTAGAAATAGATATGGCGCTTCAGTTCGAGTGAGTGTCTGTGTTCGATCACGTATCTTTTAGTTATTGTCATAACAGCGATCAAATCTTCCCGATACATCCCCTCGATGTTTCACCAACGAGTTTCAGTGATCCTTCAATCTGTGTCGGCTCTTTTGTGCCCCAAAGTGTTTCTGTTGGGGCTGGCCAATTGTAAGTCTATGGTAATCATTCCGGAATATATCACCAAATGATCATCCCCCTAGTGATTGGTTGATAGGTGACAATGTTTTGCGTTCAGTCTATGCCGTGTACGACTTTGGCGACTTCGTTTCATCGGGGACTATGGGCAGCCCTTATGTTCAAATGCTCTCCCTGGTCGATCCTGACCAAGCATCGGTGGAGTTCCACTCCGTCCGGGGCGGAACACCAGAGAATAACATTACCTACAACGCTTCAAGCGGTGATTCCGGATCAACAACCGTCACGTTGTCCACGGATGTAGCAAACACTATTGACAAGCTCTCCAAATATCTCCCCGCCATGCTTGGCGTTATGGCGCTTAATGCCCTCGTCTTGGTCATACTTTCCATTGTCGCCCTTGTCTTACTGTGCAGACGTCGCGGGAGGGGTGCGCGAGCGCGCAAGACACCCGGAAGACTGAGTCCCATGCCGATGAACATCACCACTACGAGGTATCCCGATTATGTCAACCCTCAAGAGCCGCACACATATCAACCTGTCTCGATGGCATTGACTGAAGACACACTTTTCGCTCCTCCATCGCCCGCCTTTAAAGGGCAGTCAAGACCTGGAGACCGCCCAAATTCAGTCGCATAGTGAACTGATAACAGCCCTCATACCCCTCCCACGGCTATATCATGACTGCGCTCTGTTCATGCAATTTTCCTGTATTTACGCAAATGTTGTGGGCAGCCCCTCGGACAATGGACCTTTTTCTTCAGGCGCTATTTATATATTTTCTGTCTGCTTTATTTATCACCCCATCCTCGTTATATTTTGTATATATAATGTAGTCACTGTTTATCAGTGTCACGCAACATAACTCCTGACGGAGTGCTCTGCATCATGTGCGTGATTTGGTACTACGTGATGCCATCTCGAAGGCTACATAGTTGTCCATGTCAACGAGTGTCCGAATGTTGCCTAACCTCTCCTCCTCAACTCCAGGTGTTGGGCTACCTCTCGTGCTCTTCAGAACCTGTCGTGCCAATGATCGGTACGAGCTCCAGGTCTTTTCTTGCTCCTGAGTAAGGCCCCCTGCCTCTTGGAGGCGTTTTGTCGCCTCCATTAAGGTAGAAGCAAGTTTAGATCGGTAGAACGCGGTCGTGTGTTCATCACTGAGAAGCGCGTCAACGCGCGCAAAGTTAGCTAACCACATCGCATGTTGAATATAAGTGATGTTGTTGGCGGCAAGGGCGGTGCGCAGAAGGAACGATATGGTTTCCGTATCCGTCGGCAGGTTCTTCCCCTTGGACCTCTTCTTCACCGTCGGAGAACGACTTCCACCCGACTCGAATTGACTGGCTTCGACTCCTGTCATGAGTTCATACACGCGGACGGCAGTTGGCCAGTCTGCACTGCGGCAGCATGTCATAAGAGCGAGGTGGTACGATTGCGCTGTTGGCGTCAACTTGGGGAGATGATAAATTATGTCGTTCTGTACACTCCATTCCAATGCTCCCAGAGCTTCGCTCGATTCGTTGAGCGATCCGAGAGCGGCAAGTCCAGCATATGCTCTGAGGAGTTTGTGTATGTGGTTAGAGTCGATAAGGTAGCGCATCCACACTTTATCCCAATTGATTTTTTCCATAACTTGACGCGTGAAGTGAACGGTGAGTCTATGCTTTTGCATGGCATTGCAAAGTTGGAGGGTAGCGTCTAACGTCCATGCATTAAGATTGGTTGACAACCTTTTAGGCACATCCTCCCCTGGCTTTGAAAGACCCAATTGATCATGGATGATAGTGAATGCAAAACTTTGATCGTTTGGGCTTCCCCGCGTAAGGGCACGGATGGCTGTTGCAATGAGCCCAGGATCCAAGAAGAAGTCAGGATTCCTCTGCATAACTTTCTCCATCTGCATCCAAACGTGCTTCGCATCAGACGCAGCATCGTTGCGAGTAGAAGTCTCTCCATCAGTGACCGAACGCTTCTGACGTGCGGATATTGCCTTGAACATCGCAGTGAAGACGAACCTGTCAGGTGCGAGAGGTCCTTCCTGGTCCATGGCGAAGTAAACGTCGAAGATTTTATGGTATTCTCCTGCATCGCCGAGAATCTGGATGTATGAAACAAGAGGCTGCAGGGACAACTCCTTCGAGTTGTCAGCCTCGTGAAATTTGACGGATTCGAGGTGTTTTAGGTAGGACTCGTAAAGAGAATGCGCGTTCTGCAATTGTTTGCTGTATTTCGGCCAGTCCTTGATGAGGGAAATGCCGCTGAGCATAGTGGAGAAAGTGATACTGTTGGGCGAAAACCCTCTACGCTTCATCTATTGTAGATGCCCATTATTAAGAGTGGTAGCGAATCCGGTGGATAGACCTACTCACGTCAACGAACAAATCGTAGGAGAGCTGGTACCGTTCAGCGCTCAAGCACTCTGAGATCATTGTATTCCACACAGCTATGTTCTGCGCATCCCGAGGGGTCGACTTTAAACGCTCAATGGCACCGTCAAGGTCCCCCTCCCTGCACAAACTCTTGAGCTGAATTGACAAGTCATAAGGTTTGAGTAAACGTTTCTTCTGCACCCCCTCGACATTTCCTTGACGTTTGTCCAGCTGGGCACGAGACCGAAAGTTCGACGGTCCGCCTGCCCGAGCTTTATCTGGATGTCCTTGATGCCTCTCAGACGCACGTCCGAGGAGAGAAGAACCCTGCTTTGGCTCTAAACTGGAGTCTATCGTTATCCCAGAACCTATTGATCGCGACCAGTTCAACTTGAGAATGACATTGCGAGCTGTTCTTCTGCTTTGACTCGAAATCATGCCAGATTAGTACGGTCAAGTCCAAGTTTCAAGTTGGACTTGCAAAGGATGATCAGTGGGAAAGTTTTACAAATGGAGATTGGCCCCTGTGCAGCGGTCAACTCGGAGACTGCCTGGACCCTGATCATCAGATCGAACACGACAAAGTCGCAAGGTCATCGCATCAAACGGCCACGTAGCTTGCACATAATCTGGACGACCGGGTGAACGTTCCGATCAATATCGCTTGCACTCGCACCGCTCGTCTCAGTTCGTCTCCCAGTACAATTCATACATCTCGGTTCGAAACAGTAACCCGGCTCGATCTTACTACACGGCCTTGTTGTTCTCTCTGCTCCATGGAAGTATCCCGACAGCAGAGACGTGGAAGTTTCCTCGAAGCATTGGACTCCATTTGCACAATCCGGCTATTACAGACCCAACCCGATGGTCTTACTGGACGTGCGCTCATTATTATTTCTGCACACTGGATAGGAGAACCTAGCAAGCGCGATAATCAGACACGATACGATTGTATACATCTCTGATTGATCATGACCAGCTTTGGCAATACGGGAACTTGAACCTAATACATCCTCCTCAAACGTTCGAGTTGTGACTCAACTCGATAGCGCTCATAACGGCTCTTCGAATAATCCAAATGCGAACAATTACAAGGGCAGTAAGGGCGGTGAGGGACCATGGATGTATTATGATTTCGGCAACAGTCGAACAAGGGATCGTTTGACGCATGTCAGGACAAGACTCAGACGGAGAGCTATGATAACGTGTACTTAATATTATTGTAAGTTTGATCTTCGAAGCCTCATTCTCATGTCACCTAGGGATACGACGTAATCAGGTTTCACAGCTCACGCAGAAGGAGTTAAGGAGTCAGATCGAGTTGTTTTGAGGCACAAAGAATCGAATGGATAATATCACAAATGCCACCCACGTGCTTCAAGCAAGAATCTTTTTCATTATTGCATCAACTGCCTGCCTACTGTATATCACTTCTTATGTAAGTTCAGATTCACGCGCCTGGCCATGAAGGTAAAAGCAAAGAGACTGAAGAAAGCAGCACTAACGGACAGGGCTTTCTTTAAGTGAGCCGAGAGGGGAACCTGATACGAGACCTGAACAAAGTATTAATTCGGTGCCCTCAAGCCCAACATGTAGGATGTGCACTCACATAGATAATGCCCGTGTGCTTGTAAGTCAAGTCCTTGTATGTAAAGGTGACGGCGGGGCGCCCCACGGTATCGAGGTAGCTGATGTGTGTTGACATACTGTTGGAAATTTCGGGGAAAGGGGAGACGAATTCGACATTACTGTAGGGCACATTAGTCAACATCCAAAGACCACGATCTCGTTCAACATACGTTGCACCCTCCGGCAGTATAATTTTGACTTCGGCGTCGTTAACAACAGTTCCAGGAATGGGTGTTAAAACAGGTACGCCAACCATGTATACGCCGTTCTTTGCATCATAGCTGACTGAATCTTGCAGAGGCGTGTCGAAGCCAATAGTGTAGGAGTAGTTCCAACCCCCGAGAACTGGGTAGCGTGGCCGTAATTGAAGCACACTGTACTGCACTGCCTTGCTGCCCTTTGCAATTGACGGTGCCGTGCGCAGATGGGATGTGGAGACATTCCCGTTCTGGTCATAGAAGTATGCATTGGTCACACCGGGCGGAAGGTGCAAAGTGAAGTCAGAGAGAATATGCGGTGCTTGCTTGCGTTGAAAATTTTGGCTTTGGTACTCCAAGCGAGAGAAGTGGCCCTTGAGACTGAATTTTGAAATTGAACGTCGTGTATGAAATGCGAGAGGCGTCACTTACGTGGGCCCAGCGTTATGGAGGTGAGCCTTGTCCTCGATATTCAAGTTGGAACCCCAGTGGCTGATCTCTGCTGTACGGCGGAGCGTTTCGACCTCAATAACAGGATAGTCAAAGCTGTAATGAACTGAGACAGATTGTTGATGTTTTGCCACGAAATCTGTGTCCGTTTGAATGTCGTGATAAGGACCATAGGTAATAGTTCCCCCAGATCTGGTGACAGAACCATCCCTCACGAAACTGTCCACGTCATGTGGGGTAGTATAGGAAATGACGTTCGGCGCTATGGACCTGTCATGACAGAATCAAATCTTTCAGACATACAATAAGTAGTATATGGCACATACTTTATCTTTGTGCGCTGTACGAGGGTAGTGTAAGGACTGATGGTGAAAAGGTCAGTTTCGTACTTGAGCAGCTGAGGCTCGTTCTGAGCAGCCTGTTCAGGGAACGGGTGTGTAACATGAGTCTGCATAGTCTCCAACACAAGGTTGAGAGTGCCGTTCACAGCCAAGGCTTTTGGAAGGGAAATAGATAACAAATACTCCGCACTGCATGACATGAATATCGCGTACTGAACAACACACGACCCGACACACCTGGATTCATCCTCGCTGAGCTTAAGAGGTGTAGTCTGGCCCTTGACTTTAGCCTCGAGCCAACTTGTTTTTGCTCGCTCAACCTTGCTGAGCGCGATTTGATATGTAGTTTGTCCTGGTTCGAGAGCCTTGACTGCGTAAGTTGTACTGACATGTACTAGCGAACCACCTAGTTCGATGGTGCGGACGATAGCCGTGTTTTCAAAAGCGGGACCAGCTAATGAGAATGAAGGTGCAAGCGCACTCACGAGGAATAAAGGAAGTGTCCACCAGCGTCGTGCCATTTGGAGTCGTGGTCTGTTGTAGGAAAGAGCAACGACGTGTCATTACTCTGTTGTGCTATTTTTAGCTTTACATGCTGGTATGAAAACTCAAAATAAATGAATTTCGGATTCATCACGATTCGTCGCGCTGGCAAGCCTTGCTAACATTTAAAGAGCTCTCACAGGCTCACACTTGGATAAAGCACGATTATGTATCAACTGAAAGTATAATTAAGACTAGAAACGACCGCTACCACTGCCAGGTCCGAGCGGGGTTTCTGAGGGGTACATCCTCCCGAACTAACCCTGCAGAGACTATTCTTCTCAAACGCCGCTCGCGTTGCTCCTTCTTCAGTTGCTCGAATGTCTTCCCTTCCCTCAAGATCACATGCATGCGTGAATCGGGGTGAACCCTGATACCGAACTTGCCACGTCCCCGAGGCTCAAGTCGTTTTAGTTGCTTGGGTCCTTTGGTCACCCAAGCTTCCGCTATACAAATATTAGAAGATCTACCCTTTGAAATATATGGTCAGTGGGACTTACAAACGATGAGTTTGGAAGGATCCATATTTTTGTATGCCGTCGCATGAAGTTTAGCCGTCGCCAACATGCTCTTTATCCGGCTTGTGGCTCGCTTTTCACTAAATTGCATTTGCACGATAGCATGGTCAATTGGCTTTCCAGATATCTGTCGGCCAATCATATTGAGCTTCCTATGTGAAATTTTGAAGTTAGCCGTGGAATATTTGTGCTGTGCGATTCGTACAATCAGTGATGTGCGGTAAGTATCATAGAGTGTGTGGGTCATACTTCAGTAGCCCTCTTCTTGATGACAGTAGGAGCGCTTTCGGCAGATGTTGTCTTAGGTCGGGCCTGCTTCTCGTGGCTCACAGCTGCCTCGAACACACTCTGCTGGCCTTGTTTCTCCTGCTCACCTCTTTTCTTCTCTTCCACTGGATCCGCTTTTCTTGCCTTCGGGGCAAACTTCTCCTGAATCCATTGCAAAGGATTATAGTAACTAGCAGCTCTGCGAATGTGAAAGATAAGAGGTAGAACGTCCTTTCTATTTGACCAACATACCTCCGTTGACACTGCCATTGAATGCAGGATGAAGCTATGCGGAACTGCACTGGAGTACCTAGACGATTCGCTATATCGTGCTTGAGCTTAAAATCTGCTGCATTTGCAGAAGTATTTACAACATACCGCATCGCACTTGTCTTGCGACAGATTGCATCCTGCAAAGATTCTGGCAGCAGCCAAGGCCCAACAAATTCAGCCCGCACTTTACCTTTGTCACGGTCACGAGAAGTCACATTGCGCCGACACGTTTGCGCAATACAGAACCAGTCCGCAACCCCATCACTGCGAGCGGAACGATGCTCACACTCGGAACAATTCTTTACGTTTCGCTCCTTCTAATTAATGCAATGGCAGTCCTCAGTGAGGACCGATTCCTTGCGAAAAGTGAGGACCATCATTACTAATACTCCATTCGCTGACGCCGTTTTACAGTCGGCTGGTCCTCTGTTCAGAACCCCAACGCCGCTGGCTTTCAGCCACCATACGATCAATCAGGATACGGATATACCCAGCAGCAAGATGCTGGTGTCAAAGTCCGATTAATCAACCTCATTAGTGCCGTGCGGACCCTCATGCGTAGTAAGTGGCGCAATCCTCCAGTCGGAACTGACACGCTGATGTTTCTGCACAAAGTACCACTCATAGGGCTGAATCTTGTCATAATCGTATACGAGCTAATTCTTGGTGGCTGAGTGGTATTTATGTACGTTCACCGACGCGGACCATGAGATTAACATGTCTGCTTTCTTTAGTCCGCGCTGTTGAGTCTGTCATACTCTGCGTTGATTTGTCTGATGAAATCTGCCGGTGAATGACCGCCCTAAGAACACGTTGTAAGGTCTTGTATATTGTGCGGCAATGTTGTTTTGCCGCATACCTCGCAGTCATACCAAGTGCCATCCCGTATACATACTTGTCGGTCATTGATGATGATCGTGCAGCTTTTCCTATTGCCGGCTTAGCTCCCATGAGATCCTCAAACTTCCTAAGGACGTACTGGATCCCGGCTGCGATGCTATCCCTGGTGCTCTGTTGCAAAAGTTGTATTCCTTCTGCTCCACGGCCGTCTCTTCCTGCGCATTGACCAGCCTTGCCGTTTTCCCAGTTGATTCCCGCTGCGTTGGCGCAGTTGAGGGCAGTTTCAGGCGTGCCGATATTATCACGCCCCTGAAAGTTTTGGCACTGCACAAAGGACCACCATTCAGAAGTAGAGTGATATTTGGCAGCGCACAACTCTTGCACATTTCCAGCACACTCCGCTTGACCATGCATGCAAGTTACGCCATAAAAGGGCTCCGAGGCATTTGGGCTATCGAACATGATGAACTACGTATGAAGAAGGCATGATGCTTGGACGTACTTTGCGATGAACGACAATGAGATTTCTACTTTATTGCCTACTCTTTGTAATACGCGATTGAACACAGATTCGCACAGAATTGCATCTGGGCAACGAGACATGACTCCTAGAACCACTGGCACTTTCGCATCATCGGATATTGCTGTTGGAAATTGATACTGCACCGTTAGTGGCGGTGCTAGGGCCATCGCAATACCGGTTAATCCGAGCAACAAGAGTGAGGATAACATAGTACAAGGCATAGATAACGGTAGTTGTGGGTGAACGGGCTGGAACTTGTGGCATCATCACCATAATTATATAAGCAAGAAACAATGCCCAGGCTGTTCTAAAGTGCTTCCGCTATTGCATCATTATCATGATTATATAAGCAACTCATAGTACTCAGGCTTCTAGCATCGCCTACGGCGATTCTTGAATGTGAACAGCATCCCACCACTTCCGCGCCTCGGAATCCGTTAAAGGAGGCGAAAAATATTGACACCTTGATCGAAACGCTGAATTTGACAAATATAATAGCGTCAAAAATCAGTACGTATGAGACAAGTCAACATCCTCACCGTCAAGTGATCGCTGGCGCACGATCTTCTCGATGGCTAATTCATTGTGAACTTGATTTCTCTGCGCATGGGTTTATGAGAAAAGGAGTTGCACGCCGAAACCTTCCTTACCTTCACCTCATCCGCAAACATGGCTGCTTGCGTCTTTCTTTGAGCCCTGGCATCGCCTTCTTCGCTTGTCAATGACTTTCGCTTCTCCTCCATGGACTGATCGACAATATCGACGCAATAATTTATCATTTCTGTACGCCGTTTCCAGTTTTCTAAGCACACGACAAGTATAAGACCTTTTCAGGATGAAACACCGAAGAGGCTTACCGACCAGTTCCTTCCATACGTACGCGCAAGCTTGGTCCTGAATATTGCCTTTGCCGCTTGTCCCTGCACGATCACGATCACGGAACTGTGCATTTGAGCGATTTAGCCGCATAGTAATCGTATCATCCAGTCTACGATATTCTTTGAGAAGGTCTATGAGAATTGAGCCACTTGGAATTTCAAATTATGACAAGAAACTGAGAATGCACCTTTGAACATGCTGAGGTTGTGACATGTTGATGGTGAGACATGAACCAAGTGCGGTGTCGCCTGAACAGCTAGACTACCTAACGTCGGTGGTTGTTTTGAAGGCATGTCGTTCACGTGCTGGTAAGCCGAAATCACGGGTTCAAATCGCCCAGTATGGAACGTCGATCAATGATGTCTATCGGAAGATGCCGGCACCATTTATTTTAAGTTTTCAGTGAAAAAGGAAAGTGTGGTTATAGTTCAACAGATTAGCGCTCGCCCGCGCGACCGTCGGGGTTGTTCTTTTGATCAAGAATTCACCACATGTCGGCTGACTTTCTGCCTACGTGTCTCGGCGGTGATTATGGCGGCGTTTACCTTCAGAAAGTCTTCAATCCGCTCATAACCCGCTGCAGAAAGTCCCCTGACAGCGCTTATCACCGTCACAAAATTTGGAACTCATTGTCAGTCACTCCTGTCACTGAACACAGCAGAGCGCAGCAGGAAGGTGTTGATCGAGATAAGTCGGCCACGTTACTCCCCAGTAGTTGGATGCAATGGCTTCCCGATCATCAACCGATTTTCTCATTTGAACACATAGAAACAAGCGATAGGCACAATATTATAAAAACTTCCATTGTATATTGACAGCGCTTCCAGGGATGGGATACTTTTATAGTTTGCAGCTGCATTCATCTGCATCAGATATTTATATATATATATAATGAGAATAAAAATTCGCAAGAATAATTCAGTTATAATAATAATAATAATTGCTCCGAACATAGGAACCCCCAGTCCTTGGGTCACACCTCATCCACTCTGTGGAGAAAGGAAATGTTACGACCCACGATATGCATATAAGTAGACATGATATATCGAACCGACATCACGGCGATATCTGTCAGCCAATGTCACATTGGCTTACATTAATGCTGACACACATTAGCCTTCTCGTCGAAGGGGTCAGGCACTAAGGGGCACTGGCTACATTCCATCGTTGCACAGATTCGAAGTCCAAAGTGTCTTGGGGTTGTCCGTTCGTGTGCTTCTTCTTAGACTGTCTTGGAACGTATTGATGCTCGTCGACCATGTGTCTGTGTCTACGTGCTGGATCCTTGAACCACATCCCACAATTATACCGACATGCGTGTGGCGTAGATCCAGTGCTAATGGGGGGATTGAGTTCAGAATTGGGGATCGATAAAGTGCTGCTTACTGTCCGTGCATGTGAGTATCAAGAGAAGTTTTCTGGGGAAAACCTTTGCCGCAGACACCGCATACAAATGGCCTGGAAATGAACGAGATAAGTGAAAGACGCTCGTGAATGATCAAGTCGCTTACTTATAACGCAAATGAGTCGTTTCAACGTGGCGTTTGACTAATTGCTTCTTGGACATGTATTTGCACTGTCCTCCCGACTCTGTCGACCAGGTGCACAGCCATTTCCGTGTCGTGCCGTCCAGAGTAAAACAAGCGTACTTCTCCCACTCCTCTGAATCTGTTTTGGGCGGTATTGTTGGGCGGGTAATATGTGACTGATCACTGGAATCACTACCACATGGACTATCCTCGTGTTGGCGGTGACGCTCATTACCGCCGCTCAGAATGCTGTGTCTTGCCGAAACATGACGATCAGATTGAGATCTGTGCAATGGTGGGCTACTGATCATTTCAGGAGGAGTAGATGTTCGCTGGTAAGGCCTGGAAGAAACAGGAGGCCAGCTATGATCGACTTCAATGTTTACATGTCTGCAAGTCCGTTAAGTGCAATGTTGCAAAGAATGCTAAATGAAGTACCTGAGCGGTTCCATGATCTTCGTGACAGAAGATGCATGATAACTAATGAAAGAAATATGTCCTTAACCGAAGAGATATGAGTAATTAAAAGCCACGTACTGTCCAGCCGGGGACGAACTTCTTCGTTTTTGGGGGAGTAAAGTAGGTGTGGAGATGCTGCGGTCAGATAGCGCCGGAGATCTGCTAAGACGACTACATTTTAATACCATGTTTCATTCTGTTTCTGATAAAAACGCACGGCATGCCAGGAGAATCGCGTAAGCTGGAGATGGAGCTTGATGATGCCGACCGCGTGGAACTTCGACCAATGTAATCGACATAAAGGGGGCGTGGATAGGGTATCTGAGATTCAGGTTCATAGCGTTCCCAAGCGTACGTCGCCGTTGGTGCATTGAAAACCGACAAGGAGACGGGTCGTTGTTGTTGACTATGGTGGTGGGTCTCCAAGTCTGTGGAAGTGCGCCTTTTCAAAGCGATTAGTACTCCGCCGAGTGGCGTTAAACGTGCATACCTAAGCTGCCCATCTTGTGCTGGCGAGTGGTCCATGAACTTTGTGAACCGAGAAGGTAACGGACGAACATCTCGGTCATATGTTCCTTCGCGAGAGAGAGGTGGTAAAGTGTACAGGTTACTCCTTACAAGGATGACAATTAAGGGGACGAACAAGTAAATCAGATGAAGAATTACCGTGAAGACGAAGGTAGTATACACCCTCTTCGCTCCGATCGTCGCTGAGAAGTTGACGGATCGCCATGCGAGTTCAGTTGGCACTCGTCATGGTCGCTAGAACCCCGTTCGACCTCAGGGAGTGAGTGGCGTGGCTGCTCGGAGTGTCTATTTTGGCCACTCATTTCGTGTGTCGGTGAATCGGAAGCCCTGAAGGAAGGTGAAATGAAGATATGGTGAAGAATGTGGCGTCAGTAATTATACGTAGGAAAGTCGTAAGCGAAGTGAACAAAGCAAAGGCGGCAAAATGTGATAGATTAAAACACTTCAAGTGGGCATCGCTGGGGGCTCCAGCGATGACCCAGAGGCAAAAGAATCCAATGCCAACATAGGGAGGGAGATGTTAGATGTGCCACTTACCATAAGTGTTTCTTGGCTTTGTCAAAGGACTGCTGAGCGTTAGATACGGACGAAAGCGGTGTCATTATTTCCTGAAGACTGAATGGTCTGGGGAGAGAGGGGTGGTTTTAAGACTCGGTTGAAAATGGATGGGTATAAATACGAGGCGATCTGTTCACTCCGGCTGAGGAAGTTGTGTTCATAGAAAAGGCTACGAGATCAAGAACTAATTTTTCCCAGTACCGACTCCCCATTCTGGTCGGAGATCTTGACAGGACTTCTTCCAGCTGTGGGCGAACTGAATGCACACTGGAGATCAATATTCGCGGAAGATACAACAAAGGCATAGCCCGCGGCCGAAAAGGTGTATAAGTTTTGCATTCGCATTTGTGGGAAAGTGTTTTGGGGGGGCCGGTCAGCGCGCACACAGACACGTATCAGAAACCAATCCGTTGTGGGTCCGCTCAAGATCGATTAAACCACGATTAAACGGCCCGCAACCGAAATGGCTTATTACGTACGCATCGTCTGTCCTCACCACAAGGGCTCGTCGTGCTGGCGGAACAATGCGCGACAACAACGTGGTTGAAGCAAGGAATCAATGGCTCACTCCTCACATCTTGACATTGTTCATGCCAGGGCAATTTGCTTGCTTGAGATTTCTGTAAGATGCGCGTGAGTGTTGCTAGTACGCGAATATATGTATATCCTTCATGTTTTGCTTGCCAACCCGCCGCAGCAAGGTACATACATAAAACAGTTCTCCAACCTCTTACATTCTCTACCGACCGAGAAGGCGTGCAAAACGCCTGTATAAATATAGACCTGACTTTGATCGTCATGGAGCACTGCAATTCGTAAGTTATACTAGAACTTAACCTTCTCCGAGCCGGTATAGTGACTAACCTCCGGTGGTGCAGGTCATTCGCCGTACAACGTAGATCACTACATAGTTCAACGCTGCGCAATGTGGGAAGCTGACCCGACGACATCCATAATGGAATGCGCATCGTGTTCCTGCACTACGGGGCACTTTTGACCACGAGTCATTTCCGCGCCGCCAGGAAGGCTAGTTAGTACACGAGGCAGACTTAGTGCAGCCATCAATGTTCCTCCAGACGTCCGCAAGGGTTTCATGGGCCTCTCAACATCCATATGATCATTTGATGATTCGCTGTCCGAGGAAATGTCATCGCTTGACTCGGAACGTCTGCGCTTTGCGGGAGATGACGTAGGAGTATATTTCCCGGAGGTTGCAGATGCAAATACTTGTCGCAGCGTATCATTTGGCCAAGGGTAAGGTTCCTCTTCTACACGAGAAGTTGAGGTACACTTCGTTGGGGAGCTGTTCGGTGTGCTTGGGGCTGAGGGCTGTGTACGGTACCCCTCTAATACATCTACGTTACGCGTGCACATACGCGTCATTATACTTTAGCGACGCGCTGTACCTGCCACAGTAAAGCTCACTCTTTCTGGCTCTCATTGCCGCATTGCGTATGCTCGCAGTCACGTCGGATGGAGTACTGTTGTTTGATGGGTTTATGCAATGCAAGCTCATGCAAGATTTCCGTCACTCACGCATCATTTCTTTGAATTTCCGAACCGATCTTAGAAATGCGCTCATCTTCCGTAAGTAGGCGTTTCGCGGGTGAGGAAATCATGATTTGTACAGTACGCATGCGATGGCAGTTGACAACGGACGCAGACTGCATTGATGGGTGAAACAATGAGGCACGTGATGGGCGGCGGCCAGGTTTAGATATCGGGCCGACCCTGAGCTAAGTACTTCGACTTCGAAGATTATCGATATGGCACAGCAACGTAAGTTGCCGAACAAGAGTGAAAATTCAAACAAGTCCTTATGTTAAACTTGGTTGTTCAAAGTCAGACCATTGCAGACGATTGGGGATAATTGATTGAGCAACCAACCGTGTACATACATTGATCCGATACCGAGGTCGAGGCTCGTCCTGGCTGGTTGCTTTGTTCGCACTTGCCCCGTATCGCCTTTGAATATTTGAATCATCGATCACATTCCCAGAGCTCGCGTCGCTAGCTATCAGACAAGGTTAGGCGCCAACCGAGCTCATTCTGAAACACCAAATCAAATTCAGTTGAGCGTCACTGAGATGACCCTCACAGGTATCACAAGTTGTTATCACCGGCGGTAATGTTTACTCGGAGCTGCGGTTCATAACGCTTGATTCGAGAATGGAAGCACAGAAGTTGGCCTACCATGTCGTGATCGTGGGGGGATGTGATGATCACTCGACATACTTAGTGAAGTTCGATGCATTTCCATAAGACAAACATAGTAAATTGGCTCTAAGGTTGCACCCATTACAGTACACGACCTTATCATCATCAAGGT